AAAAAACCCTGATCATTCTGCATATATCTACATGTAGATTTAAATGCTTTTTTCTAGAATAGGTTATTGTAGTATCCTTACAACTAATCTCATCTTCTGCTTTTTTCCCCCCTCCTCATTTTTTTCCTTGTCGGTTACAGAGGAATGATAGGAATCATTCTTACTGCTGGGATTATTGGATGGTGTAGTTTTTCTGCTTCCAAAATTTTTATATCTGCGTTAGCCATGGAAGGACAGCAACTTTTAGTAGCATATCCTTGTGCTTTGTTATATGGAGTCTTTGCGCTAATTTCTGTCTTCTGAACTGAATTTATCTGGGATGTGGACATCAGTGGGCCAAATACACAAAAAGGAACTTGAACTCTTAAATCGGACGAGCAAACTGCTGCAGCGCAACTCTCATGCAGATATACGTTTGACTGTTGGAGCAATGGAAGTAAACATGTATCTTTTGTTCATTTTTATAGAACTTTTGAATACTATATTGGATTTACCTGCAGTGTGACTAGCTTTAAGTGTTTGTGTTTGTACAAATAAAAAGTGCTATTTCTTTCGAATTTCTGCAGCCTTTGAGAAACAACTTATTTTCCTTGCAAATTATATTATGATGTTTTTGACAGATTTTTATCAACTGTGGGAAACCAACCACAAAGCTGATAATCTTTCTTAAAAACAACCCAGTCATAGTAAAGAAGACACAAGATTTGTTTCAGAAATATTTGTCCAAGGAATTAGGAAAGAAAAATTTCTGGTACTATTCTCAAGTCAGGTGCAGTTGAAGTTAAAAAGTGATCCCAATGTAGAGTGAGTTTGCACTTCAAAAATTTGANTTCATTTTTATAGAACTTTTGAATACTATATTGGATTTACCTGCAGTGTGACTAGCTTTAAGTGTTTGTGTTTGTACAAATACAAAGTGCTATTTCTTTCGAATTTCTGCAGCCTTTGAGAAACAACTTATTTTCCTTGCAAATTATATTATGATGTTTTTGACAGATTTTTATCAACTGTGGGAAACCAACCACAAAGCTGATAATCTTTCTTAAAAACAACCCAGTCATAGTAAAGAAGACACAAGATTTGTTTCAGAAATATTTGTCCAAGGAATTAGGAAAGAAAAATTTCTGGTACTATTCTCAAGTCAGGTGCAGTTGAAGTTAAAAAGTGATCCCAATGTAGAGTGAGTTTGCACTTCAAAAATTTGATATTCCTGTAAATTATCTCATGGAATTTTTGCTAAAATTCAGAGATAGAAGTAGTTCACAATCTACCTTATTGTAGAAATGAGATGTGAACACCTATTTAGATATTAGTACTAACTAAACCATAGTGACCTGGACTGCCTGCATTAATGCTTATAGTTGGGTCTCCACATTTCCTAGGAGGAAGAAAATTGCTAACCTTTTTTGAGAAAAATATTTAAAATTTCACAGTTTCAGTATTGCAGTTATCTGTGTAAAGTTCATTTGATGCTTACTAATTAAAATTTTCCCAATTAATTTTAACTGTTGTTGAGTTTACCACTGTTTTCTGTGTCTCTCTTTTTTTAAACTAGAGTCTGATTTTAACTCCCCATTTAACCTAAGCTTTACGAATAGAAGTATAGAAACAGGGAAAAAAAAGTGGGGGAGGGGGGATAAAATGAGAAGCAATTTACTTTGAGTTACATTATTTCCTTGCATTAAATTTATTTGATTCATGTTGTTATGCTTTCTTTCCAGAGAATCTGTAGGAAAATACTATATCCTGTATATTGATCATTGGCTTTTTCTAGAGAAACCATCTCTGATTTTGGACAAACTTTAGTTACAGTCATAAGAAAGACACAGTATGGGGAGGATAATGTGTTTTTTTTTTAAAGAGAAGACTTTCAGACTAAATAAAAATAAATGCCAATCTGACATACTAATGGTTCTTTTGTAGAGCAATTTTTAATGCTTAAGAAGAGGTTGAGATAAATAAAACACATCTTACAAGAAGGTCATAATTTCTACTCTGGAATCACATAAATATGTTTTTCTTCATTCTTAACCTTCTGGAGAAACACACTAATAATTAGTTTTTGAATATGTTTTCAAACTTACTGAGTTGCTTTATAATAATATATATATATATTTTTTTTAATATATATTTTTTTCCTTTTTGTCTTTTTTCATGACCGGTAACGGGATCGCAACCCTAGGTGTCGCGCCCATACCGCGACCGGCAACAGGATCGCAACCCTCGGTGTCGCGCCCGCACCACACTCAACCAGTGAGCGGACCAGTCTCTATAAGGGATCCAAACCCTCGGCGGGAGCGCCGCCACACTCCCAAGCGCCGCACTCTACCGAGTGCGCCACTGGGCCGGCCCTAGAATAATATTTTTTATTTTAATTACTGGGTAGTATCTTTGTCTTTCTCAATTTGTTTTATACATAAACACAGTTTTTGTTAAGGCAAATGTAATGAATGCCTTCTCTTAATATCCAGTTATTTCTGATGAACAGAGTAGATGATGCTTTGGGAATTAAATTCTCTCACTGTTGGCTAGACCTAAGACTGTTAATCTTCAGCCAAATTCCTCAAATGGGTAAAATTGTCTTTCTTATTTGCTGCCTCCTCCACCTCCCATAAAAATAATTTTTGGTTTAAATCATTGTTGTAGAGATTTGTTGTTTTTAGTTGTATATTTAGCTTTAAAATAATAAGGTGCAAAATTATTTTATATTTAACTGTTGCTTTGTCAAAACAGTTATATGGTGGAGTTGCATTTGATGCAAGAGTTTAGTTCTAGGGTCCACTTGGTTACATGAAGAGTCATGTATTACCAAAATTTTCTTTATAAAATTCTCTTAAATTAAAAATATATGTAGCTATATTTATGCGTACATTAAAGACTGACATACTGTGTTTCAAAAAGTACTATGTGGCTATTTTTTTTTTTTTTTTTAAATCTAACATCGGAATAGATTTCTACTTATTCAGTTAAGCACCAAATAAAGTTTCTGGCTTGCTTTAGGGCCCATTTTGTACCAAAAACATACAGTTACCTTTAAACACTAGAGACATTCTCAGCATAGCTGAAAGCTCACCCAGTGATTGTCACTATGTAACCAAAACTCACTGTGGGGGTGACAGATGTGACACATGCCATTTCTCTCTGCACATCTTGTACTCAGTGAGTAGAGTAGCAAGTTCACTCATTTACACTAGTGTTATTTATTTATGCATGCAAGCATGACAGGGATATGTAGTTGATTTTACAAGTGGTATAAATGCATGTTTTATGATTCTGCTATAATACTGTGTTTACCAATAGGTGTTTTCAAGAGCTATATAGCCAGGCATGTGGAAATAGGCATTCTTTCTCTGGATATAGTTAGGCAGATAATGCAAAGTTCTATAAATCTTAATAGACTATCCTTGCATACTGGTCATCTAGTCAAAGAGAATTTTTTAAAATGGTATCTAATGACATGATTTGGGGTACAATAGAAGTACTGTACTTTTGGCATGTTGCAAGTTTGTGTTTTTAACCTTAATAGGTAGGCATTGTTCAACTCAAATATGTTTCAAAGCTAAGTAAGGTCAATTGTCTCTAAAGTTAAAATTAACGCAATTATGTTTGTAGTACATACTTATTACCTACAAAAAAAGGAAACTTTCTGTTCTGAAAGTAAATGCTTTTTTTTTTTTCCACATAAATGGAAGAATTTAGAACTTTGGGCAAAAAGGGAACTGTTGAAGTTAGAAGTTATCCTATAGGATACTCTGACTCAATCATGGAGAATTATTGGAGATCTGCCTGCTGTCATACAGAGTAGATCTGATGTAATGACTCAGACAAGTTGTTTACCTTGTCCTGTCGGAGGAAAAATATATACATAACAGGTGTTTAGCCTTTCTTAGAGGAGCGCCAAAAGTTTTCAAAACAATATAGCAGCTTCCACGGTACAGATTATATAGCATGAAGTATGCTTACCAGAGAGTCACACTGGGCCTTTTTTCAAAATGCTGCCTAGAGCAAGCCTCCAATCCAAATAGTGCCCCAAGTTAAATTTGTCCTCACAAATCATCAACTGATCCATTTTGTGATCTCAGGTCAGATTCCAACTACTAGTTACTAAATGATCTCAGTTTGTATAAATTCCAATTCATTTGGAAATAAAACCTTAAATTATTTTTCAAGCAACTTATTTGTATCTACTGATATGCTTGTTTCAAAATACGAACTTCAGGAATGAAACACTTAGAATCAAGCAAAAGTACCTTTTTAGAGATAGTTATAGCAGATGAGTTAATGAGAGACATTTTTCTTTTTAGAGTGTATTTAGGATTTGAGGGAAGGAGTGGCAATAACAAGATATCAAATTTTATTAGAAATGCCTTAAAGAAGAATTGGTTCATGTACTTTAATGAACAGATAAGAATGATCTATCATTAACTTGTCACAGTATATAGTATTTGCTTTCAAACGGCCTAAATAAAGCCTATCCTATACCACTCTAATCTAGGCTGTTACTACTTTTTGCCACCAATGAAGAATTGATTTTTTTAAATTAACTTTTTCTGCACCATTAAATTATTGAAGTTTGAATTGTAGTACATTACTGTTACTTGAGTTTTGGTAAGTTATTCATTAATAACTAAATACCCATTTTATACTTAGGTAATAGGCAAAGTGAAACATTAAATATTTAAACTGTTGATTTCTAGGGATTGACAGAGAACTTAGAAATATGTTATATTATTATTAACAAGTATGCATCTCAAAATCGTGACCATAAACACTGAAGAATGAAATCTGATAATAGGAGTTCTGATTTTGCATCACTGGTGGAAATATTTCTTCTGCCCTTTTGCACAAAGTTCCTACTCTTGTTAATGAAGAACATTATCTGCTGATGGAACACAATGTCCTGTGTTTGTGCAAATAAATTAAAATGATTACATACCCAAATGAGGACTGATTAAATACAGAGCTGTTCTCCTAATTAAAAAGCACAAATACTTTCTTGAGCACATTAGGTTCTAAAAATCAGATATTACATTTTTTGTGAGCTTAACTAATAGGCTTACCTTGCATATATAAATTTTATTTATTTCTGAAACTAGCATTAAATCTGCTGATAGCTTGTAGGGTGATTAATAATGCATTAAGATGTTTTCAATAGCTTTTCAACTATTGTACTTTTTTGTGGTACACACACAAAAAAAAGAAAAAAATGAGAAACCATAAGAAATAGTGGACATATTTAAGATGCCTGTAAATTTTTTTTTTTTTTTTTTTTTTTTTTTTAGTTTGCTTACTCTGATTCTCCTAAATGTAGAGAAAACAATGCGGGAATTTTTTTTTTTTCCTTGTTTTCTTATTCTGTTTCCCCAAAATGTAGAAAAAAAAATGGGGGAATTTTTTTTTTTTCCTTGTTTTCTTATTCTGTTT